GAAATACGAAAATGAAAAAAAAAGATCAAAAGTGAGAAACAAGATATATTTTGTGCTGTCAATAGTAAGAGAAACAATTGAGACCCTGCAATTGTGTGTAAATGAGGCAGAAAGTTAGATCAGCAGCCTGGGACTTGGTCACAATTTTTGTGATGCCATATGGGAGCAGGGTCTACCATTAGAGAATACATTATGCTTCCAATATCTTCCCAGGCGGTAGTACCTCCTTGTTTGATAGCTTTCTACTACCTAACTACCAATTGGTGAAATGTTATTTTAGTAGAAATGCATGAATCTGCTGTACTTATTGGCGCTGATTAAATAGTACATCAAGCAAAGAAGATTCCAGGCTTCTTTATGAAAATTTATTAATTCGTTGTGGATAAAATCGTAAAAACTAATATTACGAAAAAAATATTCCATCCCATTTTGGGGGCTTTGCATGAGATAAGAAGTCGTTTATATTCTATTGAAAAACTTCCCTGAGTAGCTTTTAAACTTATTTTTTATACTTTCTTATAATTTCACCAAAGATATACATACTTTTTTTGAATAGCTGAGGAAAACTACAATTGAATCATGTATCTTTACAAGAATTTGGGATTTTTGAAAAGGGGAGGACATCAAATAGTGGTGGGACCTGTTAACATCACGTGGTCCACAAGTAGGGTACCACCCAAATGCCAGCAAGTCCTTCCTCATTGTGAAGTCAGAACATTATGAAGCGGGCAGTAGCGGTGTTTGGTGTTAAGTCCTAAAGACAGTTATTCACAAACCTCGTCATGTCAGCCAGGAGACGGGTTGATCATTTCTTTTAAATGCTGGAGCTTTAAGCCTGTATAATCCCTAAGTCTGGCGGGAACTTTGTACACTTTTCATTCTTGCAGCAATAAAAGGTTCTCGATAGTAAAGTCCTCAGGCTGCTCATTGGTTGTTTGTAGTGGATGCCTCCCGTGTTTTACTCCTCAATATTTTGTTCGGTTTCCTGCCCTCAGTTGAGATATTTGAGAGAATCAATTCTGGATATTCCTTGGCGTGGGTGTCCAATGTAGTTGTCAGCTCTAGGAAAAGCGTTAATCATCCTGATAACTGTCGATGCTAGTGTTTTGCCCTCACGCGTTGGCGTGGCAAGACACACTTTACCAAATAATTATAGGTAACGCCACGTTGAAGACTGTCTTCAGCAGCAAGATTTGTCGAGCCTTCGTTCATTTTTAGGAAGTTCAATAAATTTAAAGGCTGCATGTGGGCGAGTTGCTTTCGGGATGTGAAGTAAGATGGTGGTATTAGTTGTTTTGATCGCCTCCATTTGATTTCTAACGGTTGTAGGGTCAGCATGGCGGAACAATCAGGGTCTTGGAGAGGGTGTTGGACGGTTCTCTCTGCCGGAGGCTTCCGCTCGCCATGCCAGTCACTGCGTTTGCGAATGGTGCAAGTTTTTCAGTTAATCTTGGAGTTTTTTTTTTCCAACGTTTGGTTAAACGAGGCCTGACTGTTTGGTAGGCAGTAGGCATGAGGTGACGCGCCAGACCAAAGCTAGACTGGGATATTCATCTTTATCGTACGATGGGCGTGGCAAGGATATCTTAATTCTAAAGGTAGTATTATTTTTTATATATTTTTTTAGAATGAACATTACCGCTGTTTTGCGTTATGTGAGTGGCGTGATGACAGAGGTAGAGTGGGGGAGAGTAGATGGCTGGGCGGGAGTGCGGGAAGGTGTGAGGCTGCTGGCCCATGGGTGATTTTTTTTTGGGGGAGAACAGAAGAACCGGGGAAGAAAGTATATAATTTAGAGACGAAAAAATTAAATAGAAATTGAATAAATGGAGAGGGAAGTAATAGATGCCAACGATTCTTACTAACTAGCTTAGCCTTGGCAGGCACTGGGATGGTTTGTAGACCAATGGGATGTTGAAACTAGGAGGAAACTGGATGACTTAATATTTTCATCCATACCTCTTCCTGAAACGTAAATAATATATATATATATATATATATATATATATATATATATATATATATATATATATATATATATATATATATATATATATATATATAATAAAACTTCAGCAATGGAATGGTTACGGTGGAAAGAGTACTTTTAGAAACAGGGAAAACACAAACATTTTGACTAAGTTACGTTTCTTTAATTACTAACGTTTCGGAAAATCATTTTCCATCTTCAGAGCCTAGAAAACATAAAACATTTTAAAGATTACAGGTAATATACAATAAGAACCGTGCTCATATCTGAGGGTTGGCGACCACAGTCCTCCACTTTAAACGTTTTCTGGCTGTTTTTGCCTAACCTCTCAAGTCTTGTATCTCTCTGGGAACCCAGTTTTTAATTTAATTCATCCATCCCAGTTTCTGCCTTCCCCTGGCCCTCCTACCCACAACTTTGCCTATTAATAGTTTAGTTATTAATGCCTCTCCCTAATTATATAACCAAAGTATCTAATTTTTCTTTATCTGTATATTTCAAGTATTTATCTTGAAGTTTTTGCTAATCTTAGTACTTATTCATTTGTTTTCCTGTCAGTGTAACGTATTCTTAGCATTCGCCTGACACCTCATTTCAAAGGCCTCCAACCTCTTTCTGGTGTCTGTTGAAAGTGTCCACGCCTCTGACCCTTACATCAGTCCTTGCCATATACTTTTGAAAAGCTTTTCGGCAATTTTTTTCTCATATTTAAGTTAATGTCCCATTTCATTAGGACTTTTAGATTATTAAATTCCTTTTTGCTTGCGCTATTCTTGTTTTTATATCTTCCGTACATCTACCATCACAGGTAATGTTACTTCCCAAATACACAAAATTTCCACTTGTCTAAGTTCCCTGTTGCCTACCATAATTTTTATTTTAAGATTTATTTCCAATTTTGAAGCAACCATTACTTTCGTCTTTACAGCATTAACTCATAAACCATATTTTTCAACTTTTCCATTACACTTTTAACGATATTTTGTAATGGCTCTTCACTATGTGTGATAAGAGCAGTATCATCTGCATGGAGTGTATTTGATATTACTTTACCATTAACGTGAGAGAGAAAACATTTGTACGCAGAGTTTTAATTTTATTATATGCAGTGCAGCTTCACCAATCAATGCAATTCGTCACTTAAGCCACTCTGGAACATCTTCATATCGAAATGTAATAATCTTGTCCAGTCCACTTGTCGAACCTCCCGGCACACCTGAGTCCAGCACCGGGACCTCATTGTCCACCCCCCCCCTCCCACCCGTGTCCTATACCAAGCACGCCGCCTCACCTCCGTCAGAGTGCATGCTTGACTAATATTAAATAATTATGTTAACAGAATAAATTAAAAAACCTCTATTCGAACACTGGAAACAAGGCGATGATTTCACTACTTGTTACTCTACTCAAATATACAATTCTACTTGTTTGTTTTGTCAAAGAATAAACTCCTGCGAGGATAGCAATAAATATGACAATACAGTGAATAGGTTACATTGTAATTCAGAAGAGGATAACCGTAACCCTGACAATATACTGGAATACACACAAATATTCTTCCCCATCCTATAAATAGAATAAAAATTTTATATCCCAGCTATGTTGAGTGAAGGAGTGAGAGAAATGCTTAAGTTTTTAATTAGTTAGATGCTTAGATGACTACGTTACGTTTCTTGTATATCTATCTGAATTAATACCACACGTTCAGTATCAGTCTTGACTCTTTTATCTGACTGACATAGATCTTTCTTTATAATGATCCGGCTGTGGCAAATATTGGCTTTTATACATCGGTCTAGGATAGATCTTTTGGTTTACATTCACAGAGTTGACGTAGACCGTTGGTTTTACTCCTCCGTCTGAAGCAGATCTTGGCTCTGGCTGATCTCTGACTTGACCCCTTGGTATGCTTTCTTTTTATAGTGACCTGACCGTTACATTCAACCGATAATTTGTAAAACGAATCAGGAGTACGGTTAACAAGGGACGCCCGTGTGTAGTGATAGTGTTGTTCTCGGTGAGTTAAAGTTTTAGGTTGATATAATGATGTGGCGTGTGGTAGATACCCGAGTCAACGATCTACACAAATTGCAAATCATCTACATCACTGGCTCCATTGTTTGCGTGATATTAACAAACTGTAGTCTTACTGTAAATAAGATATTAGGTGTTAAGGTCGTATCCTTCATCCAGATGTATGTCTCACCTGCGTTTTCGTGTGTGTGTGTGTGTGTGTGTGTGTGGACCAATATGCTAGCGTGTTTTTTTTTAGATTGTTTATTTATATTAGTTTCATTAATACTTTTTTTTACCATTAATAAATTTCAAGGAATTTAATAATAGAAAAATTACCACAACTTCTCTCGTGCCTTATAAGATCAGCACCAGCTCTATAAAACTGGTTCCGTATTCCACAATAGAAGATGATAACACGGTTGAATAATGTTAACAGCGCGTAATAACACAGCGGAGAGCAGGTGAACCCGAATGCTCCTCCATAACCCGGGTGTTGATCCTGATGATGCCAGATACTGTGTTTTGTGGTGATGTTGGTGTGGTGCTGCTGCGGTGTGATGCTGTTGTGGTGTGATGCTGCTGTGGTGTGATGATGCTGTGGTGTGATGCTGTTGTGGTGTGATGCTGTTGTGGTGTGATGCTGCTGCGGTGTGATGCTGTTGTGGTGTGATGCTGTTGTGGTGTGATGCTGTTGTGGTGTGATGCTGTTGTGGTGTGATGCTGCTGTGGGTGTGATGCTGCTGCTGCGGTGTGATGCTGCTGCGGTGTGATGCTGTTGAGGTGTGATGCTGCTGTGGTGTGATGCTGCTGTGGTGTGATGCTGCTGTGGTGTGATGCTGCTGTGGTGTGATGCTTCTATTGTTTGATGCTGCTGTGGTGTGATGCCGTTGAGGTGTCATGCTTTTGTTGTTTGTTGCTGCTGCTGTGGTGCGATGCTGCTGTTGTGTGATGTTTCTGTTGTGTGGTGCCGCTGTGGCGTGATGCCGTTGATGTTTCATGCTTCTGTTCTGTGATGCTGCTGTGGTGTGATGTTGCGGTGTGATGCTGCTGTTATGTGATGGCACTGAGGTTTGATGCTGCTATGGTGTGATGCCGTCGCGGTGTGATGCTGCTGTGGTGTGATGCTTCTGTTGTGTGATGCTGCTGTGGTGTGATGCCGCTGTGGGGTGATGCCGCTGTGGGGTGATGCTGCTGTGGGGTGATGCTGCTGTGGTGTGATGCTGTTGTGGTGTGATGCTGTTGTGGTGTGATGCTGCTGTGGTGTGATGCTGCTCTGGTGTGATGCCGCTGTGGTGTGATGCTGCCGTGGTGTGATGCTGCTGTGGTGATGCCGCCGTGGTGTGATGCTGCTGTGGTGTGATGCTGTTGTGGTATGATGCTGTTGTGGTGTGATGCTTTTTTTGTGTGATGCCTCTGTTGTGTGATGCCGTTGTGGTATGATGCCGTTGAGGTTTAATGCTTCTGTCGTATGATGCTGCTGTGGTGTGATGCCGCTGAGGTGTGATGCTTCTATTGTTTGATGCTGCTGTGATGTGCTGCCGCTGTGGTGTGATGCCGCTGTGGTGTGATGCCGTTGAGGTATGATGCTTCTGTTTTGTGATGCTGCTGTGGTGTGATACTGTTGTGGTGTGATACTGCTGTGGTGGGACACCGCTGTGATGTGATGCCGCTGAAAATATACTCTTACAGTTACATAAATGGGGAATGGGTCACTTGATTGACTAATTATACACAAGTAACATAAGTCATACAAATATGATATATAATAACTAAATGTGGAGAAGGTTATACTGTAGGGCATTTCAACATAGTGACAGTGCAAAAAAGATAAGATTGACTGGGAGTGGATACACTGGTTGATTACGAGTTGTTGATAATTTTTACAATTGTTGGGACTGGGCTGTTCTTATAGTGATCAGTTCGTGCCGGTATGGGCTGGATGCTGTTGAGGTGTCAAACAGCAATTCGCGGACGAGGGATCTCGGGTGGAAGAAGGAGCCGGTGTTGAGGATAGTGCAGATGCTTCTCACCAAACTTTTGGATGATGTCGTGGTGATTAATCAGAGAGAGCCTAGAGGGTCAGTGTATTCAGTGCTTCTCGTTATGTGGAGTGGGAGGAGGGGGAGAATAATCTTGCATGCCCTCCTTTGCACTTTTTCTCGGTGTTTCCGTTGTATGGCATTTTGGGAGGAAGGTCAGGCAGGGGAGGCATAGGTGAGCTTAGGAAGTATGAATGTTGAATAAACACTGAGGAGCTCGGGCGCAGGAACTTCCAGGGACTTGAGTCGGCAGAGGAGGTGGAAACGAAAACTGGAGGATTTAACAACTGTACTGACGTGTGGTTTCCAACTTAGTTTGTTATCTAAGGTGAAGCCGAGGAGTGTGTTGGGGCCCACAGTAATTGAGGGAGGTGGGATATGGTCAGAGGAGAGGTTGATGTGCATAACCATTAACCATGGTCTTGGTATGGCTGATGGTGACGTGGTTGCTCGTGGCCCATTTTTGGAGAATCTTCAATAAATCCTGGAGGGCGGTGTAGTCGGGAGCCGAGTTGTTGACACTGATCCCAATGGTGGAGTCGTCGACATATTTCCAGCGAGCAGAGATTTCTCTTAGAGCATCATTGATAAGACTAAGAAAGCAGAGCGGTCCCATACTGGTGCCTTGGGGATTGCCACAGATGAGTGATTGAAAAGTGAAGCCAGCTCCTCGGAAGCATAAGGCTTGGCGTCGGTCGCTAAGAAAGTCTGTAAACCATGGCATAAGAGTTGTCGAAACCCGAGGTCGATAGCTTTGTTGATGATTAAATTGTGGTCGACTAGGTCAAATGCTTTGATAAAGTCAATGAAGGCGACAGCCACAGACGTCTTTCGTTTTTCCAGATGGTGGTATATGTAGTCGAGAAAGCTGACAGGACAGTGAGTGGTGGAAGAAGTTTCAATATTGCCAAATTTCTGCAATATAAGCATAGGCCCAGTCAAACACGACACTTTTGCAGATTAAGCAGGGTATTGGGGTGCTGGCAATGGTTCGAAGCTCATTCAAGGATTGTGGGCTGGTGACTTAGTCTTCCAGTCAGCTGGGCATCTTGCTTGGCTGAAGGAAGCATTGATGATGGAGCAGAGGGGTTTAGCTAGTTCCAGGGAGAGCTCCTTGTTGAATTTCACTGGTAAGTCAATGAGGGTGGTGGAGCGCTTTAACTTTAGTTTGTCCAGACGTTTTGCTACTACAAATTATTCCATTAAGTCAGTTCCGAAATGACTGTTTGATTGCTCAGCTGCGTCACCATTAGTGATAAGGCTAAGGAAGGGGAAGGGGTGTGTCTTGTTGTTTAGCCCACAGAGTTCTTTAAGCTTACCATACCACTGACTGATGTTGGCCTGCTTCAGGTGTTGCAACTTGGTTAGGTAGTGGGACTTCTTCACAGTGCGTATTTCTTGAATGACTTGCTTGCGAAGGGACCTGTAGCGGTTGTGGTCATTGAGATAAAAGGTGCTGTCTTTCTATTGCATAAGTCTTTTGATCCGAGGTATGAACCAGAGCAAGTCAGCTGGGTGTGATCTGACGGAGTTCTCGGGAAGGAAGTGGTGGTGAGCTTCCGTGGTGGTGTTGGTATAAGCTATCCATTTGGTATCCACGTCATCCACACTACAGTTAGTACTTCAGTCCAGGGATGGAGAACAATCCACTGCCCGAAGAGAGACACTGCAAGAGTCAGTAATCGGCCTGCAGGTCTTGATGTAGGGTCTCTTCACTTGGCAGTTTCTGGGAGCTGGAGACCAGAACACTGCTACACTAGGGTGTGTCATACGGAGGCGAATTTTTTTTTTTTGAGTTTGAAAAATCGGCCCATGGTATTAATGATGTAGTTCTATGTGCAGAATCATGTGATATCTTCAGATTTGAAAAGTTTTCATTTTTTGCTAGGTAAATTTTTACTTGAAATCTTATGAAAATTCAGTATTCCCACCCTTTTGCCAACACCACTAAATAGCTTATTTAAAGTAAAGTAAATGTATCAGGTTAATTTATTAGGATGAAAATGATCCAGAATAGTGAAACGAATGATCTTGACACATTTATTAAATTTAATATTCCTTTAGAAAACAAAATCATCAAATACAAAAACCGGTTTTACTACTACGACCCGGTGTTGCTGCACACCATAAAGAACATGTCTGTCTTGCTTCTGTTTCTACTCATCACCTCCCTGCTGACCACCTGAGCTCGGATGTAGCCTTCCCTCCTCTCCTGGCTGTACACGTGACTGTTGGCCTCGCTCACTTGCTGTACACAACGCTCTATACTCTGGGTGTGCTAGGGCCAGGCAGGGACATGCATGGGGTTGTCCAGGAAAGCTCTGACTTGAACATTGGTGAGGCTGCAGGTAAGAGGGAGCTCACTGCCAGCCTGGATGTTATCCAGATCAATGAGATCAGTGAGGGTCTTGGCACCTAGATTGACTTCAGGAGTCTTCCTGACCCTGAAGGAATCGTCACCAACTGATTCGTCATGCCCAGATCCTCTCATAAGTCTCATATCCAAGATCTTTTTGACTGCCACTCTTCTCTCCTCCTCATCCTTACTGTAGAGCATTGTCTGCAGAACTGCCTCGGGATGAGCATACCAGGAAGATCTCCTCACAGTCTGCTCCACAATCTGAACAACCTTCCTTGGCTGACTCCTCAGAAGCTCAAGCTGGAAGAGAACATGCCTCGGACCTTCGGAGAACGATGACTTGACCTTGGTGTTGAACCAATTTGGCAAGTAGACACTCACGATGAATTGGACAATAAGTTTCAGGTTGTGAAGCTGGTTCCCTTTCAGTTTATGATGAGCGACCCAAATTCTGCAGAACCTGAGAGCCGTTGTGAGCCACCTAGAATGTGAGACTGGACCTATCTGCAGGTAAGCAAGTCTATAAGGCATGACCCCAGTTTTGATGGCACTGCAAATCATGTAACCATAGTACTGGTCAGTACTCAGGTCGTCAATGACAGTATGTGCAAGCTCAACGAGTGGAGGGCCAACTGTGATTTTTTCAAAGCTCGGATTTATTTCTAACTCAGTGGCAGAGTCCAGCATCTTGCCAAGAGGACCAGACCATCTGTTGTTTGAAGAGTCTTGCCATCCAGCTCCTGGATCAGATGTCTGAGTGGCAACTCGTTGGTGTGGAGGTCACAAACAATCCAGACCAGCTTCCTCCCAATCTTCCGCTCTATCCACTGTATTGGCCCCTTGCCACCCTGTGTTCGTGTTGGTGCTGTCCCCTCCAATGGCCTGCAGGGTCTGGTCTACGTTCCTCTCTCTGAGCCAGTTCACAATGTTATCTGCCACTATCTCAGCTGGTTTCCTGATGTCATCTTTCTCTGGAGTGAAATGCCACAAATACTTCCCTCCTGGTTCACTGCAGCAGGAGTAGTGTTCCTCCTTCACCATGGCAGGGAACAACTTGTCAGAATCTCCAACTTTCATGAACACTTTAGTGTCATCCCTTCTCCCATCAAAGAACAAACAATTGATTCCATTTTCTCTTGTCCCCTTATCAAACTCCTCTTCTAGGTTACTGACAAGTTTCTCCTGAGCTCTCCTTACTTTGTTATGATCTATCACCAGGTGAACATCATCAGGTGTTATCAAACCACCGTCAATCCAGGCAGCTGTTGCTATCTCTGCAGTTTCTCTGAGACCAGTGTGGTGTCGCATGCTGGCCAGAGCTATGCTCAGGATATCTTTCCTATTTCGAATCTTATGCCTGGAAGGTTTGGGATCATTATTTTCTGGGTTAGGGACAAAGTCACCATTCTCCTGGTCAGCACTCGGATCAGCCATGGGGAAGTCATTAAACTCTGAATCAGCTTGACTCCAATCATCGGCCTTTTTTACCTCACCCTGGGCCTTCTCAAGTCTCTTTTCCTCGGCAACTCTTCTCCTCTTCTGTCTCTCTGTGGCAGCCTCCTGTCTCTTGGACTCCGGAATATCTTGGCTAGAAATCATGAGAGCCCCTATACTGCCAGTCTTCTCTCTCTGTGCTTTGACAAATGCCAGTTCGATCACAGGAATCTTCAGTTCACGCTTGCAAATACAGGAGATGTGGGCCTCGGATTTACAGTCACGATCGCATCCAAACTCAGGACAGAGAACAATTGGGCACTTGCAAGTAATTATGTCAAATAACTGGTCCAGTTGCTTGGCAAAGCTGTCCTTAACTGCAAGTTTTCCTCTCCCAAGAGAGATATCTCTTGCCTTTTCCCAACTGGCTAGCAGTCTCTCACTAATCTTCTTCTGACTTGTTATGACTGGAGGCTTGAACTGAGCGTTAGCCAGAGTGTACTGTGCCAAGACAGCTTTGGTCATATCACTGGCAATGTCTTTGTTTGTGTGTAAGTTCTTTGGTTCTTTTCACTGATTTGCCTGATTAAAACACCGTATCTCAAAGCATCTCAATGTAGGCAACTCCGACTTCAGGAGCTCTCTCCCAGACCCAAGATAGTGACTGAGATGGCTGGATTTTTGGTTCCTCGTCCTGAACAAGCAGCCATCGCAAATATTATCAACTTCTAAATGCATCAGAATCTGAAACAGAAAAAATATTGTTAGTTGGGTTGTTAAAGAATGAAGTCAGAAAGCAATGTTCACTATTTAATTGTAATGCACTAATGCAGCTGT